ATAATGACCAATATGCGTTACAATTAGTCAGTCAGATGACCGTATTGTACTGATACACAAAGCTCTCCAGCTCTAAAACCTCATATAGAGCCAGAAGCTGACCATTAACATAGACCAAAGCTTTTCCCAACGACGCCTTTACTCAGCTATGCTTTAACCATATCATCAATCGCAAAAAAGACACCTTGATTGCATTATTGCTGTATCATTACCATAGTCAGTTCATTGTTATAGCATCAAGCCCGTCACTGCCTTCTAATTGCCTTTACTTGACTTCAGTTAACTCCTTTAGGTTTAACCGTATATCTGTGTTAACTAAAACCTGGGTAAACAAAGCAGTGTTTATATACGAGCTCAATCATTAATATTTACTCTGCAATCACCTGATGAAGGGGATGAAGTAGCATTCACCTGTTGAAGGGGAACAAGTTGCCCTGAAATGTCTTTATAAAAATGTTGTTCAACATAAAGTGTTAAAATCAATCAACAACTGAATGGCGTGATTGCCGCTTTCTGATAACCTTTGTTGTGAAACAACGTCGCAGAAAACTCACAGTTCATTATATGTTCTCTCTATCATTTCTTGAGGCCTTCAAAACTATTTCCAAAGCACGTCGACTTTTACGTGAAATAATAATAGAAGTACAGAATGATCTTGCTATAGGCCAGTACGTCATTGTCTTCTGTTTGTTGCCCAGCCACGCTGGAATTCCTGGTGACGCAATGGCTGATGCTGCAGCTATAGCAGCACTCAAAACATCTGTGACTTTTAATTCACTTCGCGACCATAAAGCTATCAACCTATTAATCCAAGAGCCCGGGGGTGATTTTTGTACCGAGAGAGGCCAAAAGGTTTGAACATGTATTCTGATGTAAAATTGCCTCACGAATCCAAAAATTTCAGTCTTGCAAATCAAAGCTGTGGCTTTAGCCCACTAAGGGGCGTTGAAGCGATGACTCAGCATTTTTTTCACCCAAACTGGTTGCAATGTAAAGAAGAAAGATAAATGTGTAATTTCACAAAATAAACTGTTTAACAGTGTGGTATGTAGAGTAATGACATATTGTTTTTCTTCGTAGATCTACAATTTTTTGTCATTTTACCACCTGAAGTTCAGTGTAATGAAACTAAAGTATAATATAATACAGTATTTAAGGCTTTTAATTATGTAAAAATGTGTAAGGAATTCAAATATATCAACAAAATGCATATGTCACTCAGGGTTAGTGTTGTATCTAAGATAAAGAGAGTAAGGGTAATTCTATAAAATCACTCAAGGGGAGATAACTCTGTAAAATATGGTTTTCAGAAAGAGATATAACTTGCTTTTTAGTCTATATACATGTAGTTGGACATATATTTAAAGAGTAATTAATCACCAACATTTCTTCACGTTACAAAACAGGTCATCAGGCCAGTAAAACATGCATGCATGCACGCACACACGTGCGCACACACACACATGTAATAGTTTTAAAATTATTAAGCTAATTCTGACAACTCACATTGAGATTTTGGTATTTCTGTCAAAATGCAAGGGCTACCTCATCACGGATCATACTCATCGTCAGTAGCAGAGTAACTGTCATCTTCTCCAGCCTCACCCTCATCTGATTCTTCAGGGTCTGGAAATGTGCTACTCATTTGTTTTGTGACACATGTAGGTACCTGTGGTCCTTCATACCAAACAAGTTGAAAAGTTCCATCCTCCAACTTCCATCCATTTCCTTCTGGTTTGAACTTCAATGGATCACAGAGATGAGGTGAGGTGAGGTGAAATTGGGTTTATCGTCAATAGAGACCACGTCACAAATCAGCTGAAGTTAAGCACCGCTGGATGGATGGGTGACCGTGTCTGGCAGCTTGACTCGTGACAGAATCTAGGACTTCAGTCCTGCCGAACAATGAAGAACACGTGACACGTGGTCTCGCCCTAGGCAAGTGAGTTTCTTAATGAATTGTCTCTGTTCACCCAGCAGTAAATGGGTTCCCGGTGGGATAAGATATTTGACTGTTAACCTTCTAGAGCCTAACATGCAGCTTGGGTTATCCGGGGTTATAATGTGTTAGCTACTTTAGAATGTACAAGTGCGAGGAAACAGGCTCTTTATAAACAGTCATTATATATTATATGGGTGCCATGTACCCATGTGGGAATTCATCCCAGATCTTCGGCGTGATGAGGCAACGCTTAAACCACACGGCTACCATCTGCCCGGTGTTCTACTCACACACGTACTCTAAATAACAACGCCTCGTTAACGTTTATCAATTTAATCAATATAACGTTATGACAGTTATTGCAATGAAAAGCTGCAATTCTGTTGACGCTGGTTCATTCACTCCCACTGCCTGATGTAATACAGAAGATATTTATATTTGCTGGTAACACGTGTCTATGTTCACTGATATAAATAAGAGAGAGAGAGTATGTATGTATATATATGTATATATCTATGTATGTAACACTAAACTATTACCATCCGTAGCAACCAGCACATCACACGATGCGCCCCGACCTGCCATGCTCCAGTGTGGGTGGGTATAGTAGTGATCATCAGATGTTGCCACCGCGACTTACTAAACGGTGTCAGAACACGTGTACAATGAATCATATCTGTATTCATGTCGCATTAAAGAAAGAATAGTCCAATAAAACGGATGTGACAAGTTCAAGAATTTCAAGAATCGTCGTGCACACGTAAGATACAGTGATGCATAAAGCCGGGATTTGAACAATTACTCGCGACCTCCTGGATGACGTTGTACTATGCGGTCTTAGGGTTAAGGCGATCGTAACTCCCACACCTTAACATAGACTTACGACTGTCGTAGGGCCAAGGTTATTTTGCACAACGGCACCCTGTACGTCAAGGAAGTTGGTATGTCATGTACCGCTAATGGGGCGTCTGTGAAGGTGACATAGGGCATAATACACGATACTTTCGGTCCTATGTTTCACAATACACATATTAATCATCGCAAGTTTATGAAGGACCCAGTGGGATATTTTAACGTTACCATGTTTACACAAATGATGACATCTTAATGACGTAAAGTTGAGGAAGCCGTACAAGTATGCCGAAGCGTGATGTCAATGGATGGCGCTAATGAATAATCTGCACGCTTTCAACAAATACACTAGACGCCAAAAGAAACATTACCTTCCCACCTTTATGAATCACTGAAAAACTATCAAAGATATGTTAGAAGGTTTTAGTTTACAAGAAAGCTTAACAACACAGCTTTATGCAAATCACGGAAAACATTCTCAAATGCATTCATATTTAGGTGAAAGGCATCTTTTTCACAAGAGTTAACTTGTCCTATTTTCGTCCATGCCGAAATAAACCAATAACGGTCATTTGGCTGTCCAAAAGAAAGGTTGAAATAAAATTCTGCTTTGGGAAAATGATAAACCATTTAAAGTCACCATTTTTCAACTATTAAAACAAGAAACAACTGTTGTAGAGTGTGTAAAATTGTAAAGTAATCATTCCTATGATTGAAAACATTTTCAGCTGATTGGCATTAGTGAAAACAAGTAAAATGTATCTTTGATATTGTGAAAAAATGTTTAGGAACATCTAAAATTATCCTTGTTAACATTTTTGCTTGCAAAGTAACCATTTTCCATTTTTTGTTTAAACATATCAATATCAATCGCCAGAACGTAGCAATATTCAAGCAGTATTTGCATCCATTTCACATATAGAATCATTCTATAGGGTATAAGAGAGCCTAGAAACATGATATTATACACAAGTACGAGATATATGGCACGATTAACAGCTGAAGAGGGTAAAGTTTCTTTTGGCGTTTAGTGTATGTTTATACTGCACGTTACACTATCTGGCTTCAAGATACAGCGTCACTCAAACATGATTGCCTGTTGGTTCCGGATAAGATCAAAAGATTTAACTAATTGTAATCTTACCAATCAGTTATCGATTTTTGACAAATCGTCAATAAACATAACAATCAGTAGTAATAATAGCAGTAGAATAATAATTCTGAAATCACAGGCGCCAAAGTTATTCCCCAAAACGTTATGTTTACATGAACCTTACTTTTTTTCACATATTAGCACAATCAATTATAGGCATTAGGTGTCCGGCAACACTGGCCCAAAAGGCCGCGAACAGCTTCAAGAAGAAACAATACATAGTACATATACTGTGTAGTGCCTCGCGATCCGGGGGAGTGGACGTGATCTCCTTCAATACACATGGATATTCAACATGATAAAACAAATTCACGATCATTTGATAAGTGTCCATAATCGTTAGATACATCGGTTGAATGTGTTCAAAACACCACCCGCATCTACCAAATCATCATCTACTGAAGTAAATTGCCTATTAGTTGAAAAAGTTGGGATCCAGAGGTCAGGTTCGCTGACTTGGTTGGTGCATGTCATCGTATCTCAACTGATTAGATCGATCACTGGACTTTCTGGTCCAGACATGTTTAATTATAGACATACTGATGGAATACGCGTGTATGGGGCCTGAAAACAACAACCAACAACCTATGATATTGTGACAGATATTATATTTGGAATTACACTTTCTCGTCAAGTACAGATTCTACTAAGGTCTTATGAGAGAATTTTGAACACCCTAAATCAATCAAACCAGGTATTCAGTTTAATGTTGCTCCGATCTTGAAAGATTGTGTCATTCAAGACACTTTGAGCCAAGAGATGGTTTACGAAGCATCAGAATTATCAGAACAATGCTGTCCTGGTTTTGAAAGAATCTTGGTATGTGTTCACAGAGCCTGGTTGTGTCGGTGAAGTATAGACATCATATGGAAAGGTGTCACACACCTGCACAATATACATGCACATTTGTATCAAGATGTAAACCCAGTCAGCAACACCCTGAAAAGTATATTACATTATTAGATAGTGACAACATATTTTGTCTGTGCTTTTACGCGCGCGCGCGTGTGTGTGCGTACGCGTGTGTTTGACGGATAACGTTGTGAGACTTACCTAAGGAATAGGCAGATGACGGTGCCGTTGCCGATGGTGCCGAAGATGCCCATGATGGCGACACATACTCCAATGACAACATACAGCCAGGTTGGTTTATCATCCACACTCAACATCAACCTCGTGGAGTTGTCCACGCTGTCGGTGACGTTCACAGAGACATTGTGGCACAGAAGGTCAGAGAAGTTTGCGCACTCCATGCTATGTGCAAAGACCACATCCCTCGGCTCCTCTACAACCATAAATGTTTTACCTCACCTACAATTTCACTGTTCGCCATGTGTAAATGAAATCCTTAATACCCTATTTACGTGTATTGCAACAATATAACTATAAGTCACATGAGCCAAGTATCCGAGCATGAAGCGAGCGCCGTCCCCGCCGCTCCATGGTTGTTACTCTACTGTGGGAGTTGATGCGGCACCAGCTGATTAAGCGACAGCAGCTCGCTCAATACCAGCAGCCTTCTCACTCGCTCCCGCTAGCCGACTGACTTGTTCAAAGTTACCTCCCCTACGTCGGGCCATTGATTCTGGAGGTATTTGTGAATCAGGTGAGAGCATTTTCATTTCATTTCATAGTGTTAATTACGTGTTTGCAAGTCACTACATAATCTATCTGTGCGTTATGAAATACACAGTGCGTCATTCTGCGTTACGAAACTCTACCGCTGAGCATATTAATGGCAATATTAGTTCGGATTTTGTATTATCATAACTACTTTGCAAAAAGCACTTTGGGAGGATCATTTGCAAAAGTTTCCAAATACAAATGGACAAGAGGATTAACTGAAGTAACATCCGGAAGATTACTGTTGGTCAAATGCATTAATTGAAATCACATCTGTACGATTACTGTTGGTCAAAAACATTAATTAAAGAGAAACCAGCAATGATTTCTGATGAAATGGGGTTTAACGTCGCACTTAAGAATATTTCTCTCATATGACGACGTGCATGCGTGTGTATGTGTGGCTGCTTGTACTAGCCCAGACTTACGCTGGTTTTATAGTGCTAGCTGACTGAGATACCATGCCGCAGTAAAGCATGAATACCCCACTCAGACACATTATACTGACTCCGAGCCGACCAGTCCTTGTTGTACCCATTAATGCCGAGCGCCAGCCAGGGACTAACAAGTACCATATTTTAACGGGGTTTGTTGTGTATGAGGCGGCCGGGGATCGAACCCGCGATCTTCCCGGGCGGACGCTCTAACCACTACACCACGGAGGCGGTACATTAATTAAAGGGACACGAGCAAAGATAACTGTTGCTAAAATACATTAAATAGAATTACACCTTGACGATTTCTGTTAGTTGTAATATCCCGCTGACGCCCACGGGCGAAATACTTAAAACCTGTTAAAGTTACTGATATCTGTAGTTCTTCGTGATTAGATTCAGATGGTCTTGACGCGTCACTATTGAAAGTGTCACAAAGGTTGTGTTAACCCTCCGAAATTGGCGACGAGGATAATCGATGAGTGGTAGAGACATATTATTGTATCTCGGGAATGCCTGAGAGCTGCATGACATACCCACATCGGCAGTTAACAGAGGCTTCCGACACTCTGCCATTCTCAGATAGCATGTGATCCGAGGCATGACACAACGTCACCGTTGTCACAGACATCCGGAATCCCAACACCACGCCATTTCTACAGACACGTATCAACTGGAAAAGATTGATTCAGGGGGATAGAACGGGAGTTTTGATAGTTCAAGAATACAGAAATAGCTGATAAGTGCGATTCGCTTCTCATTTCCGGAGGTAGAAATAATACCAATCCAGCAAAATGTTCACCAGATGGATATCTTGATAACTATATTAAATAAATGTACTGCAAATAAGGATATTTATTTGACATATTGCAAGATTAATATATCACAAAACGGTTAGTGATTTGTACGCCGCTTTTAGCAATATTCCAGCAATATCACGGCTGGGGACACCAGAAATGGGCTTCACACATTGTACCCATGTGGGGAACCGAACCGGGGTCTTCGGCGTGACGAGAGAACGCTTTAACCACTAGGCTACTGCACCTCCCTAGTAAGTGATGAACCAGCAGTGACCTATGTAGCTCGTCATAAAGGCACATGGATTTGAAATCGGTGCAGGCTGTCATGAGTGAATCTTAGAACACAAAACACAAACAAAGGACAATCACAGCATAGTCAAAGAAGCTGTAACAAAGAATTAGGAATTGCCAGTGCTAATTGAGGATGCAGGTCGCGGACAGGGTGTCTCGCCAATCAACCAGGGCCATGAAGGCAGATTACAGTGAGAAGATAGAGAAAACAGAGATACACTTCCGCAGACCTGCAGAAAGAATCTAGTGAAAAATATCTTACAAAATAGAAAGTCAGATGGCACTGACCTGTTCATATTGTGGACTGTATGGAGAATGAGAAGCAGAAAGACTATCTGACATATAATGATGAGTATTGTGGACTGTATGGAGAATGAGAAGCAGAAAGACTATCTGACATATAATGATGAGAATTGTGGACTGAATGGAGAATGAGAAGCAGAAAGACTATCTGACATATAATGATGAGTATTGTGGACTGTATGGAGAATGAGAAGCAGAAAGACTATCTGACATATAATGATGAGTATTGTGGACTGTATGGAGAATGAGAAGCAGAAAGACTATCTGACATATAATGATGAGTATTGTGGACTGAATGGAGAATGAGAAGCAGAAAGACTATCTGACATATAATGATGAGTATTGTGGACTGTATGGAGAATGAGAAGCAGAAAGACTATCTGACATATAATGATGAGTATTGTGGACTGAATGGAGAATGAGAAGCAGAAAGACTATCTGACATATAATGATGAGTATTGTGGACTGAATGGATAATGAGAAGCAGAAAGACTATCTGACATATAATGATGAGTATTGTGGCCTGTATGGAGAATGAGAAGCAGAAAGACTATCTGACATATAATGATGAGTATTGTGGACTGTATGGAGAATGAGAAGCAGAAAGACTATCTGACATATAATGATGAGTATTGTGGCCTGAATGGAGAATGAGAAGCAGAAAGACTATCTGACATATAATGATGAGTATTGTGGACTGTATGGAGAATGAGAAGCAGAAAGACTATCTGACATATAATGATGAGTATTGTGGCCTGAATGGAGAATGAGAAGCAGAAATACTATCTGACATATAATGATGAGTATTGTGGCCTGAATGGAGAATGAGAAGCAGAAAGACTATCTGACATATAATGATGAGTATTGTTGTTGCCGATTTTAGCAATATTCCAGTAATATTACGGCGGGAGACACCAGAAATGGGCTTCACACATTGTACCCATGTGGGTAATCGAACCCGGGTCTTCGGCGTGACGAGCCGACGCTTTAACCACTAGGCTACCCCACCGCCCCGTCTGACATATAAAGAACAGTATGATACATATGAAGTGGTCAGTGTGGTTAGTGTCACCTAGTCAGTGTGAGTAGGGCATCACAGACTCTGCTGGAGGAAGGTAGACAATTCTACCAACAGAAACCACATAGACAAGACAGTCAACTTGTGCACGACTCGACAGCCTCAGCTGATGAATTCTCCCGTAATGTTAATCAACGCTTTGAAGCAAAGTACATTATCAATGCAGGAAATATCTCCGAAGAAGGTATTGTCAATCTGGATAATGTCGATAGACGGAACCAGATAATGGTGCAGAAGATAACCTCATGAATGACGATCAATTCAGTGCCTTGGTACACATAAAGAGTGTCAATGTCCGCTGAAAACAAAGTGAAAATGAACACTATTCAATCTGAACTTCAAGCAAAAGGAGAATAAAAGATTTTGTCCGAAATGGAACTCGTGGAACGATGCAATGTTTGCTGTTCTGAAAGGGCGACTAGATTCGCCACCTCTATTAAGCAAACCAACATTGTATAAACTTGGGATGATTAATCTCCGTAAGGATGGACCATGCCACTTCCAGAACCAAATGACCCTAGTATAACAGACACAGAAGCCCATATGATTGAGGGCGTTTGTTCGAACAAACAGTTGGACGCACAGATTACAGAGATAACAGATAAGTTTCAGAATTAGTGCCGGGGCTTGTGTAATTCCGTGGGAATTACATGTTCATTGTTGGAACCAATACTAATTGTAATCTCTATTGTGTACTGATTTAGAAAAAAACATGGTTCCATTTTTTCTGTTTGCCACAAGTGTCATTGTGGGGTGACTGAATATGAGTTTCTAAAATTGCTTGCGACACCATTTCGAGACAAACATATTTTCATAAACTTATCACAACATAGTCATGCAGCATATCAAAAGGTAGCTTATGATGCATGGTATAGAAGTAACCATATAATTGCTTCTAATTTCAATTTAGTGACATACAATATGACTTAATCATATAAATTAATCAAACATTGTCTTTCCTACATGGGACACCAACATTGTAAGTATTGGCCTATATTAATGGAAACCATTTATTCAATTTATGTATTCTCCCATTTCATAATATATACTACCATGACACACTTATGTGGTAATAATAGTACCAAGGTCAGGTTAATGTGACTATTATATAGTCATGCATAAGTGTCAAATCAGGCCTACCAGGACAGTCAGAATTGACACACTGACACTCGTGTCTGGGTAATTACACTGTAAATGACAAATGACATAAGCCAAATCTGCAGTCTGACAAATGTGACAAATGATATCATAGTGAACAGATAACTACATATTACAAGTGGGGTATGCACGTGCAATATATAATATGTTCTAGCATATATATTTTAACCTTCACAAGGATTTAGCATTGTCAAGTAACTTGCATTGTCAATCAATCCGTCATTAACCTGCAAGAACAAAATATGCTGTTGAAATACAAGCTTCGACATTTTTTGACATACAACCACAAGCATGAATTCTACGCATATTTTTCTTAATTTGGAAACTAGAAGGGCCCTCGTTAGAGAACATGCCTCCGCCTTGCACGGCAATCTCCATTCACTATTACATTTTTAAAGGACTACTGTGTACTTGTACTTAAATGCACTTTCACCAAACCGTACGCAGATAGCCCTTGTGTCATACCGAAAATAACCAACAAGATTTATTCAAATCCATCCAACACTTTTTGAGATATTATTCATATTCCCCATTTACGTAACATTGCGATTATTTTCAAAGTACCTCTGTGTACATGTACTTTAACATACACTCTTCAAAAAAAAAAGAAACGCAAAATTTGAAATTAATGATCAAAGGTGTGTACGCATATGTAAAATTAAGCATGTTTTGAAGGTTGAATACTGTTGTTGGTATGGCTTAGAAGAACATGCGTGAGCGAATGCAACCATAAACGATTTTGAATGGTTTTATCGATCATGATTGT